ATTAGAGACATCCATTTTGGGAGTCTTCATGACAAAAAAGAGAAAGAACAAGTCTGAATGAGAACTAACTCTCGATTAATAAACTCATAATCTAATGCCACGGCTTCTTTCGAAACAAAGTGCCTTTACTCCATTCATTCCTTCAAAAGAAGAAACACTGCACAAGCCAAATAAAGTCTACATCCTTAAGTACTTGACGACTAAAATCTTCGACACGTTTTACTTCTCTTCACCACTGCAAACAGACCCAATAACTGGATTCTCACCACTTTTCTTAACTTCGCCTTCTCAGCCAAAATACAATAGAAATTATGATAACGAGGAATTCGACTTAATTGTCAAATTGGGTGATGTTGTTGGGAGTGCAACTTCGATAGAGGGTATTTACTACTCCGCAAACCCAGACACCATATCGAGATATAAAATAGTTGATAAGTTGGGACAAGGGATGTTTGGTCAAGTTTTCAAGGCGAAGGACCAAGTCCGAAACAAAGATGTTGCCATCAAAATTTTGAAATCAAAATTCTCATACTTCAGACAAGGAATGTTAGAAGTCGCGATGCTCTCACTTTTAAATGACGCGTATGACAAGACGGGAAATTGCAATACAGTTCGACTCGTCGACCACTTTTTGTATCATTCACATCTCTGCATAGTGACGGAGTTACTTGGCGATAACTTGTACCACCTTATCTTAGAAAACAATTACAAGGGCTTTCCAATTAGTGTAGTAAAGAAGTATATGAAGTCACTCCTCACATGTTTGTCAACGTTAGAAGATGGCAATATCATTCACTGTGATTTGAAACCGGAGAATTTGCTGATTGACTTGGTTACCAACAATTTGAGGATCATTGACTTTGGGAGTGCGTGCTTTTCTACATATACATTATACTCATATATCCAATCAAGACATTACAGAGCACCAGAAGTGATCTTGGGAGTGCCTTATAATTGTGCGATTGATATATGGAGTGCTGGATGTATCTGTGCTGAAATGGTGTTAGGTATCCCATTGTTTCCAGGGAATTCCGAGTATGATCAGTTGTACAAAATCATCGATATGCTTGGACAACCATCTGAAACGGTTTTGGAGAGAGGAACAACAACGTCTAACTTCTTTAAGAAGATCCAAAACTCGAGCGGAAGAGTGAAGTACATTCTGAAACAACAATTCGAATATGAACTCGACAACGACGTCCAAATCGAACCAGACAAAAGGTACTTCCGATATAAAACACTCGACGAGTTAATAATGAGAATAACTATGACTTTATCGGACGGAGTGGTTGATCAGAAATGTTCGTTGGCAGAGACCCGACAGTCATTACTTCACTTCCTCCATGGCCTTTTACAAATCGACCCGGAAACACGGTGGACAGCAAAACAAGCGTTGGAACACCCTTTTATCACGGGCGTAAAGTTTTCAAGAAATTGGCAACCAA